ACTCATTCAGTCGAAAAAGGGGTCGACTGGTCAGAGCCATCTTCCTCCCATAGGGAGTTAAACACCCCCTATAACTGTCACGTCCCAAAGGGACGGATCAAGGCTATGAAGGAGCGAATAGAAACTTTTCTCTCGGACCATGTGATGGGTCCGAATTTTGAGTTATTTGTGTCGGATGCTGAAGATACAGTTGTCTGGCCCGAGGGGACTAGTTATGAGGAAGCCTATTTTGGCTGCTACGAGGTGGCCATTAAGGCCGGCCTTCGATTTCCCTTGCATCCGGCCGTTCAACAAATCCTCGATGGGTACGAGGTGGGGCTATGGCAGTTAGCCCCTAATTCCTGGTTTAACATCCTTGGCTACGTAGCCGGATGTGAAATGCATGGGGTGGAGCCGAATTTTGAGGCGTTCGTCCATATGAATTATTTAAGCCGAACCCCCAAGGCAAGCGGTACCGGCTGGTACCAGATATCGAGCCACAAGGGATACCTGATGACTAGGGGGAAGGAAAACAAGTGGAAGGATTGGAGAAACACTTTCCTCCTAGTCTCCAGCCCTGATAAACTCCTGAACAAGCGGTATAATAGGTGGAACAGGGATCCGCTTCTTCTTGCAGGCGGCCGTAGTATGCCGCCTGTTCCTCACCGGGCCAAGGAAGAGATCCTTGACCAAGGACTCTTCAAAGTAGAGACAAGGGAAAACTCTACTACTGGAGTACGGGAGCAGGTGCCTTTGAACTGTGTTCCCAGATTTCGGTGTTATATGATGAGTACTTTTTGGCCGCCTGTGGCCTTAGCAGTCGGACCTCTAGAGGTATCCGGCCTCTTATGCCTGTATATGCATCATTTGATTTATTTGTTCAAGTTTAACTAACTCTTTGTCGCCTATTTTCAGTCGAGGCTATGGATCAAATCTCTGCATCAAAGAAGGCGGCCGCCCTTCTTCGAACCTCCATAATGAGCCTCAAGCGGACCTCCTCTGATTCTCCCGCCAAGGAGACGCCCATAGTGAGTTTCTGATCTTTCGAGTTTCTCTTTGAACTCCTCTTTTTGCCAGTACTGACTTTCTTGTGCTTCTGCAGGCGGGCTCGTCCAAACCCTCTTCCTCCCAGCAACCAGACTCAAAGGTTCGGAAACAGACAGCTGGGAGTACGCCTGACACTGCCAGAAAAAAGTCGGCTGACAAACAGCCGCACATCCCACAAAGTGGGGGTAAACAAACACAAGTCCCTAGGGACAGCCGGCCTCCAAGAGGTATAACCGGCTCCTTTGACCCTTGTTAAATTTTTCTTCCTTTGATATTCTCTCTCTTGTTCTAACAATTTGTCTTTGAATTCAGGCGGCCCTCAATAACCAGACTTGGTCCAAATGGCCAAGTCTATGGTTAAAGCCATCCCTCTAGAGGAGAGGGATGCAGTCAAGGGAGTCGGCACCCTTGACTTAGACGGAATCATGGGTCTCCTCTCTAAGGTATACTTAGCATTTTTTTTTTTAAAAATGTTGAATGACTTTGCCTGCCGCCTGTTTTTGCAAATCTGACGCCTGGTGCTCCTTTTTCAGACCATGCTCCGTGTACACGACCTTCGTAGGCCGATCAGCGCCAAAAACAAAGAGGTAAAAGCTGCCAAAAGCATGGCCGCCTCTGACTTTGACAAGACAATGTTTCAAATTGCCCAAAATGAAATTTTGACAACTGATATTCTTTATTATCAGGCTCAGGCCACTTTGGAGATCAAAGACAAGTTGGAGGCGGCCAACAAAAACAACCAGGAGTTGGAGCAGACGGTCAAAAGCCTCAAAGATGAGCTGCGGCCACTTAAACATATTGCCCATCATGCCGAGAGCCTTCAGAAGTCTTTGGATGCTGTCAAGCACCGCCTGGTGAAGCAGAAGGCGGCCACCACCAAAGATCTCAAGGTCAAAGCTGAGGTAGAGAAGATGGATTTGGCTCAGGCCATGATGGAAGACTCGGCCAATATCATGAAGATGACCTGGTCGTCCCTCTTCCCAAAAGCTAGCTATGCTGCATGGGACAAGAAATTCAACGCTTGTACTGAAGAGTACAACAGAAGAATCATGCAGCAGGCGGCGAGAAGAAAGAGGAAGGGGTCGAGTCCAGCTCTGATGAGGAAGAAGAGGTGGTGGCCCTACAGCCAATAGAGGAGGTGGATGTTCCTAAAGCTCCTGCCCCTGAAAACGAGTCAACCAAAGAGGATGCCTTAAAGGATCCAGCGCCCGTAGTTGAGCTCGATCAGGCGGCAGTTAACTTCGAAGCCCCTCCCAATTCTTAAAGCTTTTATTTTTCAAACTTTTCTCCGGCCTGCGTGCCATTTGTTCTTGGATCCATTTTACCCGGCCAGGGGGCCGGGGTTTATGAATATTTTGCAGGTCTTTATGGCCGGCTGTTAATACTAATTTGGGAGGCGATTCGGTCGCCTTTGATCACAGAATCTTGTTTATGCTTTATTTTTGCCAAGTATAAAGGGTCCTTGACATGTGCTTGAATGCTATACCGACTGTTTCGGCTTTGTACGTTTTTATGTTTTGTACATTTGCTTAAAATTTTGCTCAAGATTTTTTGCAGAGTTTATCAAGTACCGACTGCCTATGCCCCTGGACGACTTGTTGTCTTGGCTCCAGATTGGCGACTAGTCGGCCATGTCTCCAGTCGGTTGTCCAACACATTTTAGAAAACACGTTAGGTCTGCTTAACTTTTTTAAATTAGAAGGAGCAGGCCGCTTGTAGTCGGGCCTCCTGTTCGTTTAAGTAGAAATAGTCCTTGCTTACCTTTAGCCAGGCGGACTCATCGTTGCTTTTTGGATCCACACCAAGTATGTGGGAGTGACTATGAGTAATCTTTGAGATTACCCGGTCGTCATCTCTCTTGCTTGAGTAGTACAGGAACCAGGCGGGGGAGGCCGGCTGATCCTCTTGCACTACTAGAAATAGGCTTATTTCCGAGGGAATGCTTCCGACGGAATTTAATTCCCTCGGAAAATTCAAAATTTCCGAGGGAAATTGACTTTATAGGATTAATCCGTCGGAAAGTTTCCTTACTGATGGAATATTCCCTCGGAACCTTTCCGACGGATTTTTTTTTCCCTCGGAATATTTGGGTTACGACGGAATATTCCCTCGAAGTGGCTTCCGACGGAAATTATTCCCTCGAAAATCACAGGTTTCGACGGAAAAATCCGTCGGAAGCTGCGAAAAAAATAAAAAAAAAACGCAACCCTATTGGCATTCTGTACAGAACACAGAAGGAAAAAAAAACGAGAGGAAGATAGAGAAGGCGACACAGGAAGAGGAAGAGGAAGAAGAAGAGAGAGAAAGGGATAAGGAGAAAGAGGAAGAGGGAGAAAGAGGAAGAGGGAGAAAGGGGCACGAGAGAGGAAGCGGAAGAGAGAGAAAGGGAGGAGGAAGAGGAAGAGAGAGAAATGGAGAAAGAGGAAGAGAGAGAAAGGGGCACGCCACCCAGCCGCCGCCGCCGCCACCACGACCCCCTCTGCTGCCTCCCCGCTGCCGATAAGGTTTTTTGTCAATTTTGTTTTTTATTTTATTTTTTTCCTTAAAACCCTAACCACCACCTTTCACCTAGTGTGTACGGGAGTTTTCACCTAGGGAATAAGTCGCCGGCGAGTCTGCAACAACCACGCCCAGCCACCGCCGCCGCCACCAGCAGGCAGTTTGCAATTCTGTTTTTTTTTTTTTTTTGGTTTTTTTTTTTGTTTTTATTTTTTAAGTTAAGTACACAAGATTAAATCATAAATGTAGTTTATGCTTTTGTTTGGTGTTAATTTTTTGTGTTAAATTTGAATTTTTGTAGGTTTTGTGTATTGAATTGTTTATTTGGCAATTACAAACTCAGGTCTACAGGTTAGACATTATTTTAAAGCTAAATTTATAAATTTAGTATATACTTGGCATGTTAAATCCTAATGGTGTGTTGATATATGGTAGTTTATTATTGTTTTTAGTTATTGTATTTACAATTTGTTATATTTATATTTCAATTTGTTGAAATATTTGAAATGACAGTGTTTGTGTTATAATATGTTAGATTAGTTTAGTTAATTTAAGTATAGTTTTTAATTACTTTATTATAACACGTTACTTTAGTTTGGTATAATTTAAGGTAATATGTTAGTTTAGTTTAGTTGTATTATAATAGGTTAGTTTAGTTTGGTTTAGTTTAATATAATAATGTATGTTGGTTTGGTTTAGTTTAGCTTAATATGATGTATGTTAGCTTACTTTATTTTAATATAATGTTGTTTAGTTTTGTTTAATTTATTATAATGTAGGTTGGTTTGGTTTAGTTTAATATGAAGTATGTTACATTAATTTAGTTTAATATAATGTAGCTTAGTTTAGTTTAATTTATATAATGTATCTTATTTTGGTTTAATATAATGATATTTTAGTGTAGTTTGGTTTTGTTTGATTGGTTTATTTGAATATTATGATATGTTAGTTTTCTTTAGATAAATTATGATATATATATATATATATATATATATATATATATATTATAATAAATGAATCATTTGCATAATCATATGCCTAGATACCCGTTCAAGGCATACACATTAGGAGTATGTCTTGAATAGTCCCCGGTTGGGACTGTCCTTGTACGCTTATTCTCACTTAGGTGGTGAATGTAAGCCTTGTTTTTTATTCTAGGGAAAATCCTGCCTTTTCATGCATTTCTCTACCGTGTTCTCTGGGTACATATGTAGGTGTGTATAATCGCCTACATCGTGTACTTGGAGAACTGTAGGGAAATGCTGGCGGATTTTCCATAGAATTGAAAACCTGGGTTACATTCACCAGTGAGAATAAACGTACAAGGATGGGTTAGGTTGGAGTGATAAGGACCCTTTGGAAGCATTTCAAATCTCATTTGCATTTCCATAACGCTGTGGCGGATAATGACTGCGAAATACCATTCATGACTAATGTGATTGTACATATGCGTGAGCTGTGTAGAAGTTGTAATCATGAAACGAAGAGAACGTAGTTGGATGTATAAAAGGACGATTGGGCAAAGTATTAATCCAGATTTCGTGAAAGGAGTTAATGAATTCATTCAGTATATCAGAGATCATCCCGAGAGTAGTAATCCGGATGAGGTTAGGTGTCCATGTGTTAAATGTAAGAACAAACGCCTTTGGAATGCAAATACGGTTAAAATTCATCTGTATGACAAGGGTTACGTACCTAACTACTATGTGTGGATGTGTCAAGGGGAGGGGTATCCGGGAGTTCCCGAACGGCGTTCCAATGAATATCATGACATGGTTTTGGATGCTTTTGGTCATAGTCAAGATCAGGGGCATTCCGAGGAGGCTAGTGTTTCATCAGAGGAGGAGCGTAATGCAACTGCTAAGCATTTTTTGGATTTGTTGAAGGATTTTGAAAGGCCATTATACGAAGGGAGTTCTTTGTCTGTGTTAAAGATGGCCGCTATAATCACTAGTCTCAAATGTGAGTATAATTTGCCTCACAGATGTGTTGATGGGTTTGCTTCTTTGCTAAGTGAGGCGATTCCGAACAACAATCATATGGCCGACTCTTTCTACGAGGTGAAGAAGATTGTGAAGGGGTTGGAACTGTCCCATCAAAAGATTCATGCGTGCCCGAAAGGGTGTATGTTGTTTTGGAAGGATGATGCTCAGTTGTCTGAATGCAGGGTGTGTGGCAGCGACCGATACAAGCAGACTTCCAAAGGTAGCCTAGTGCCTTTGAACGTTCTATTTTATTTCCCGATCACACCCAGGTTGCAAAGACTTTTTGCAACGAAGAACATTTCGGAGGAAATGACATGGCATTCGAAAAATCCCAGAGTTCAAGGCACAATGGCACACCCTAGTGACAGCGCAGCTTGGACGCACCTCGATTGTCGGTTTCCAGAGTTTGCTTCTGAGCCTCGTAATGTGAGACTTGGCTTGTGTACTGATGGTTTTGCTCCTCATGCTAAGTTTGGGGGTCAATATTCTTGTTGGCCTGTCATTTTGACCCCTTATAACTTACCTCCCTCAATGTGCATGAAAAGACAATTCATGTTCCTTTCGTTGCTCGTTCCTGGTCCTAAAAACCCTAAGGGCAACTTGGATGTTTACATGCAACCATTGATAGAGGAGTTGAAACTGTTGTGGGAAGTTGGCGCAGCTACTTATGATATTTCGAAGAAACAGAATTTCAATCTTCGAGCAGCCATCCTATGGACCGTTAGTGACTTCCCGGCTTATGGCATGTTGTCTGGTTGGGCCACGGCTGGTAAGAAATCTTGTCCACATTGCATGGAGAAGACCAAAGCATTTTGTCTTGAACATGGTGGTAAAGTTTCTTGGTTTGATTGCCACCGGCAATTCCTGCCGACAGATCACCCTTTTCGGAACAGTAAAACAGCATTCTGTAAAAACAAAGTAGAGAAAGGAGCCCCTCCACACATCATGTCAGGAGAGGAGCTGTGGGAATGTGTTAAGGACCTTCCAAAGGCTACAGATGGACCCGATTCAATTAAAAGGATGAAAAATGAAAAGAAGGGGTGGTTCAAGCAAAGCACCTTGTGGGAGCTCCCATATTGGAAGCATCTCCTCATTCGTCACAACTTAGATGTCATGCACATTGAGAAGAACTTCTTTGATCAGTTAATTCACACTGTAATGGATGTGAAAAAGCTTACATGTGACACGCCTTCAACTCGGAATGACATTGCTAAATATTGTAAACGTCCCCAGCTTCATCTTCAAGAGGATGATAGAGGAAAAGAGGTAATGCCAAAGTCTCTATTCGCTCTTGACAAGGCTCAGAGAAAAGTTTTGTGTGAGTGGGTTAAACAGCTGCGGTTCCCTGATGGTTACGCCTCCAATTTGAGCAGATGCGTAGATTTGCAAGCGTGTAAGCTCTATGGAATGAAAAGCCATGAATGTCACGTGTTCATGGAGAAGATGTTGCCCACAGCTTTGAGGGAATTGCTCCTTGGCCATATTTGAAATGCAATTACAGAGATCAGCCAATTCTTCCGCGACTTGTGTTGCTATACAACATCAGTTAGTGACATGGAGCGATTAGAGAAAAACATACATGAGATCCTCTGCAAGCTTGAAAAGATCTTCCCTCTTGCATTCTTTAACTCCATGCAACATTTGCCTACACATTAGCCGTACGAGGTGAAGTTATGTGGTCCTGTACAATACAGGTGGATGTATCCCTTTGAAAGGTAAATCAAATACCCTTATTTCACATCCTTTATTTTACATCCTATCAATTGTTCATACAGTTACATAACAACTGTAATTGCAGGTTCCTCAATCATTTGAAACGGAAAATTGGGAACAAGGCTCGAGTTGAAGGGTCCATATGCAATGCTTATCTCACTGAAGAGATAACAAACTTCTGCTCCAATTACTTTCAGTCGACAGTTGACACTAAAACTCGAGATCTTGGTCGAAATGTGAATGCCGACGTTGAGTCCACATCGGACGGCGCTGAAATACCAGAGTTGTTCAAAGAGGACAGTGGTCGTGTGTCAAATGAGGGTAGAACTCGGTTCTTAGATGACAAAGAACTCGAGTGTGCACATTTGTTCGTGTTACGAAACACCGGCATTCTTGGTGAATACGAAAGGTATATTAGGCCCACGTATTCAGTGTATTCGTATTTACGATCATTTACAATGATGACTTTGTAGATTTACAATGTGTGTTTGTCCTCATAGGAATTTTGAGGATTACATTATTAGTACTCGACCTTTCCTGCGTAGAGAAGATGTCATGGAGAATTTCGAAACTGAATTCTCTGATTGGTTTCATCACAAGGTGATATACGCGGTGTAACCGTGAAATACTTGTAATTTTTTGTGATTTCAAGGCCTGTACCCCTTACAATACCTAAAATATGCATGTTTAGAGAAAGAAATAGTTTATTTGGTCGAAAATGAATAAAATGGGCAAAGAATAGGTCATATAGGCCATAGTTGGTTCAATTTGGCTCCAAATGCGTCCTAAAACGTAGGGACTTGTATTTTTTTGTGATTTCAAGTCATGAACCCCTTACAATACCTAAAATATGCTGGTTTAGAGAAAAAAATAGTTCATTTGGTCAAAAACATAGAAAATGGGCAAAGAATAGGTCATACAGGCCATAGTTGGCTCAATTTGGCTCCAAAATGCGTCCCAAACCATTGGGAGTTGTATTTTTTTGGCATTTCAAGGCATGTACCCCTTAGACTACCTGTAATAGAGATGTTTAGAGAAAAAAAAATAGTTCAATTGGTCAAAAACATAAAAAATGGGCAAAGAATAGATCATACAGGCCATAGTTGCCTCAATTTGGCTCTAAAATGTGTCCCAAACCTTAGGGAGTTGTATTTTTTTAGAATTTCAAGGCATGTACCCCTTATACTACCTGTAATAGAGATTTTTAGAGAAAAAATAGTTCATTTGGTCGAAAACATAGAAAATGGGCAAATAATAGGTCATACAGGCCATAGTTGGTCCATTTTGGCTCAAAATGCGTCCCAAACCTTAGGAACTTGTAGTTTTTTGTGATTTCAAGGCCTGTACCCCTTACAATACCTAAAATATGCATGTTTAGAGAAAGAAATAGTTTATTTGGTTGAAAAGGAATAAAATGGGCAAAGATAGGTCATATAGGCCATACTTTGTTTAATTTGGCTCCAAATGCGTCCCAAAACGTAGGGACTTGTAGTTTTTTGTGATTTCAAGTCATGAACCCCTTTAAATACCTAAAATATGCATGTTTAGAGAAAGAAATAGTTCATTTGGTCAAAAACTTAGAAAATGTGCAAATAATAGGTCATATAGGCCATAGTTGGCTCAATTTGGTTTAGCTTATTTGTATAACTTACTACCTCGTTTGTTCCCTTTTATATGTTTATCTTGTAGGAGGCCTACCGAAAGAGGGTTGAGGCGGCTAGCACTCAAAGGATTCAGAAGAGTCCGAATGAGCTGTACTGGGAGACAGTGGGTGGTCGGAACAAAAAAGGACGTGTGAAGGGACTAGGCGAAAGTGCTGACCTGTACTATGGAAGCCAGATGGGTCGCCGAATTTCCACCTCTTCCATGCAGTACACGCCCTCCTTTTTTTCTCAGATGCAGGATCAGATGGAATCCAGGGTCCAGGCTCTTCGGGAACAAATGGAAGTCGACATGGAAGCCCGAGTTCAAGCCCAAGTACGAGCCCAAATGGAAGAAATGGAGAAGAGGCTGGAAGAAAGGATGATGGGTCGTTACGCCAATGACCCATGTTCCAACGTGCGACCTCCATTTCGAGATCCCAGGGACGACGATCCGGGTTTTGGTGGAGCTGTCCAGGGCTCTCACGCTGTTGTATAGCATTGATGAACTTAGTGTTTGTTAGTTCTAATTTTAGATTAACTTAGTGTTTATTGTAAACATTGGAATTAGTATATATATATCTATATATATATATATATATATATATATATATATATATATATATATATATATATATATATACATGTATATATATATATATATGTATATATTTTTTTGCACAAATTATTCAGTGAGTAATATAAGAAGCAGTAATTACAGGTTTGTCTCGAAGGAAAATATATAGCCAAAATAGAAAATTGTCGTCGTTAATTTTGTCGCAAGGTTCCGACGGAAACAAATTCCGTCGCAAAGAAGAAAGTTTCCGACGGAGATTTATGTCGGTAGGTTGCGACGGAATTATAATCCCTCGGAACTTTAAGACAGAAATATCCGTAGGAAACTTTCTTCTTTGCGACGGAATATTCCCTCGGAAAGGGGGGATCTTCCGACGGAAAAATCCGTCGGACGAGGAGAACATTCCGATGGAAAATTCCGTCGGAAGGTTGGAATATTCCGAGGGATTTATGTCCGTCGGAACGTTGCGACGGACCTCCATTTCTGGTCAAACTAAGGTTCCGAGAAATTAAAATCCGTCGGTAAGGACGTTTCCGACGGAAAATCCCTCGATATAACCCAAATTTCCTACTGGCCTATCCGACGGATTTTTAAGGCATACCGACGGAATATTTCCCTCGTAAATTAGCTGTTTTCTAGTAGTGTTGATTCGCCAATTTTTGTTGGCTATTAACTCAAGAGGTACCCCCTGTACTTATCTGAAGTGATACAGACGGTTATCCGACTCGGATGTCAACTTCTAACACTTGTTTGGTTAGTGTTTAGAGTTATCCTTGTCTCGAAACGGCTACGTGGTTTGTCCTTGGGGACAGTCGTTTAGGTGACGTGTACTTAGTTTATAGAGCATTATTCCAACCAAAAGGGAGCTACTCTCTGCGACGAATCTCATCCGGAGGGATGTCGCCGAACGCCTGCTATGATGTTGGGACAGGTCGTATTAGTTTAAAAGAAAGGATCAATTGGCTAGGCGCCTGGGCTGATCATCCGGCCATAGGCCTTGTTTAGTTCATGGTGAACAAGTATAAGAGAGTAGCCGAATGTAAAGTTACAGGCGGCATGCCCCTTTGAAACAGTACAAAGTAAAGAAAATGGAGAGTAGCCAATGTTTTATTCAGTTGGCATGCCCCTCTGTATTCAATTCATATTAAAGAAAGATATAGAGTAGTCGTCTGCTAATGTTACAGGCGGCATGCCCTTCTGTTTACAATAAAATTGAAGCAAAATAGCAATTTTTATTAGTAGCTCTTGGCTATTTACATTATTCAAAAATAATACTTCTTTAGATTATCTACATTCCAGGTCCGAGGTAAGGGTTGGCCGTCTGGTGTTTCCAGGCGGTAGGTGCCGTCCCTGACCTCTTCATAGATTCGGTAGGGTCCTTACCAGTTGGGAGTTAATTTGCCTAACTCATTAGCCCTGCCGACTGCTTCCATCTTTCGGAGTACAAAGTCCCCTACTTTGAGTGGACGCCTGTGTACCCTTTTGTTATATGCCCTTGTCATTCTCAGGCGGTAGATTTCATGGCGCAAGGCTGCATTGCCCCTTCGTTCTGGGAGTGAATCCAATGCTAGGCGCATGACCTCCCAATTTGCTTCTTCGTCATACAACATTATACGAAGAGTCGGCTCGTAGTGTTCAATTGGTAGGACAGCTTCTACCCCATAAGTTAGGAGGAATGGAGTCTCTCCAGTCGCCCCTTTCTCAGTCGTCCTAATGGCCCAGAGAACATGCGGTAGTTCGTCTGCCCATAGGCCGCCTGCTCTTTCAATTTTCTTCTTAATACCGTCTGAGATGATTTTATTGAAAGCTTCTACTTGGTCGTTTGCTTGCGGACGGCCGACTAATGCAAAGCAGTGTGAGATGCCTTGGTCTCCCAGCCAATTTTTAAGAACAGGCGTCTCAAATTGGGGGCCATTATCAAAAACCATAAACATGGGCACTCCAAATCGAGTGATGACATTTCTCCAAATGAAGGAGATGACGTCCTTGGTCTTGATACCTTTAACTGCTTCTGCCTCCACCCATTTGGTGAAGTAGTCAGCTGCAACCAGTATACATCGCCTGCCGCCTGTTGCAGGCGTATAGGGACCTAGGATATCCATGCCCCACTTAGCGAATGGTATAGGACTGTGGATGGCCGTGAGGTCTGTGGCCGGACGATGAATTAACTTGCCAAAACTTTGGCACTTGTCACATTTTTTAACCATTTCCATGGAATCAGCTACCAATGTAGGCCAGAAGTAACCTTGCCGCCTTGCTCTTTGAGCAAGCGACTTGCCGCCTACGTGAGAAGCGCAGTACCCTAAATGTAGATCTTCTAAGACCTCTCGTCCTTTTTCGGGGATAACACATTTCAGGAGGGGCTGAAGATACCCTTTCTTGAAGAGTTCCCCCTTGCGTATCTCAAAGTTGGACGCTCGTTTTTTCAGTAAGGCCGCATGGTATTGATCACTCGGCAAGGTGCCGGCTGTTAAATAGGCTCTGATTGGGTACATCCAGGTTGAACTCCTATCCAGAATTCCAATAGGCTCTTCCTCAATACTTCGTTTCTCCATAACTTCCTAGAAAACGGTCCTTGGCGTGTCACAGGAGGCCGAAGATGCCAGCTTTGAGAGAGCATCCGCCTGGTTGTTCTCGGACCTGGGTACTTGAGATAAATGAAACTCTTCAAGTGACCCAGCCGCCTAACGTACCGCCTGCAAATATTTAATCATGGTCGGATGGGTTGCTTCGTATTCACCGTTGTACTGGCTTACTATCAACTGTGAGTCAGAGCAAGCGTCTATTTTTCTTGCCCCAGCCGCCTTGCACATGCGGATTCCGGCCAATAAAGCTTCATATTCCGCCTCGTTGTTCGAGGCTTGGAAGTTAAAATGTAGAGCATACTCGTTGTTCTGGCAACTGGCATATGACGCCTGCACCACAACCATTCACAGGGGAGCTCCCATCCACATAAACCTTCCAGACTTGGTCTGGAATTTGAGAATCAGAGGGCCGAGTCATTTCCACTATAAAGTCAGCAAATGCTTGTCCCTTCACGGTTTTCCTTGGCTCGAACGTAATTTCAAGGCTCTGAATTTCTACTGCCCATTTGATCATTCGGCCTGACGACTCCATGGTTGTTAGTGACCGCTTGATTGGCTGATCCGTGTATACCACGATCGAATGTGCCAAGAAGTAAGGCTTAAATTTTCTAAGTGCCATGAAGAGGGCAAGGCCAGATTTTTCCACTAGGGGGTACCTCAACTCGGCATTCTTCAACACGTGACTGACAAAGTAAACCGGGAGCTGGCAGCCGTCCCTCTCAGCAAGGAGGACGGCACTTAGAGCATGGTAAGACATTGCTAGATACATATAAAGGACTTCTTTTGGCAAAGGGCTGACCAGCCTTGGTAAGGAGTGCAAGTGTGCTTTCAGTTTCTAGAAGGCTGCCTCGGCATCCGGCCCCCATTCAAACATAGCCTTCTTTTTTATTGCCTGAAAGAAGTAAAGGCATTTGTCGCCTGATCGACTGAGAAATCTCCCCAGGGCCGCCAGACAACCTGTTAATTTCTGGACCTCTCGGACTGTGCGGGGCGACTGCATGTCTATGACCGCCTGCACTTTTTCGGGGTTAGCCTCTATTCCCCTTTGATTGATAAGAAATCCGAGGAACTTCCCAGACTCAACTCCAAAAACACACTTCTTGGGATTGAGCATGACATGGTGCCGCCTGAGTGTGGTGAATGTTTCTCGGAGATCTGTCAAATGGTCCGTCTGGAGTTTGGACTTCACTATCATATCATCTATGTATGCCTCGATGTTCCTTCCAATTTGATCAAAGAACACCGTGTTTATCATTCTCTGGAAGGTGGTCGGGGCGTTCTTTAGACCAAACGACATGACTGTGTGATAGTATAGGCCCTAATCTGTGACAATGGCCATCTTCTCTTGGTCTTTCTTCCATAGAGGAATCTGATTGGAAACCAGAGTAGGCGTCCATGAAACTCATTAAGGCGTGGCCGGCTGTAGAGTCGACTAGACTGTCGATCTTGGGCAATGGATAACTATCTTTGGGGCACGCCTTATTCAGGTCTGTGTAGTCCACACACATGCACTAGGTACCATTCGGCTTTTTCACGAGTACAACGTTTGCAACCCAGTCAGGGAAATAACACTGCCGAATGAACCCTGCATCAAGTAATTTTTTAACCTCAGTGGCAGCCGCCTGGCTTCTTTCTTCACCATGGTTCCGTTTCTTTTGCCTGACCAGCTTCTTTTTCGGATCCACAACTAACTTATGCACTGCCAAGTCTGGACTGATACCTGGCATCTCATGTACCTCAAATGCAAAAATATCCTTGAATTCCCTCAAGAGTTGGTGAAAATCATCACTAATTGCCGCAAGAGCAGTCGTCCCAACCTTATTTGTTCGGTCAAGGCGTGAGTCGTCCAGGACGACATCCACATGTTCACTAGCCGGCTGAGCGCGGAACTCATCTGACCGCTCCTCGGCCAATGATTGCTATCGCTTTTCCCTTCTTTCGGCCCCCAATTGGGAGGCCTTTCTCTTCTTGCCGCCTGCTGCTTGGGCAAGCGCATCCTCCTTGATTTGTTCAAGGTCCATTTTCTCTCCACCTGGGCTAGTAGTCGCCATAGTGGGTTTAATATCCAAGAGGTAACACTCTCATGCCATTTTTTGGTCTCCCCTTAGGGAGCCGACTGTTCCATCATCCTTCTCAAACTTGAGCAGCATGAGAGATGAAATGATGACAACTTTGGAATTGTTCAGGGTGGGTCGCCCTAAGATCATGCTATAGGCCGAGAGTTCTTCAACAACTAAGAACCGAACCACCATGTGTCGACCCTCCCCTTTCTCGCCCAGACGGATGGGTAGATCCACTCGTCCCACTGGGTGTACAACGCTTCCTCCAAACCCCACTAAAGGGTGAGATACCGGATGTATACAGTTAGGTTTGTACTTGAGCTTTGCCAAGCACTTATTGCTGATTAGATCAGAGGAACTGACGGTGTTTAAAAGGATCCGGCCAACTCTCTGGTTGCCCACTTTACATTCAATAACAATGGGGTCGTCATGCGGCCCCCTAACGCCTCCCAAGTCTTCCTCTGTGATGACAATTTCTGGGAATGAACTCTTGGAGGTCCGTCCTTGGTTGACGGAATTAACATCTAACCGCCTGATGTTGTCTTTGTTGCCCCTAATAGTGGGGCCGCCTCCTGCGAAGCCGCCTGCTATAGTATAGACGACGGCGTCGTCAGTGTCAGAACTGTCAGCCGACCGGTGCTTCTTCTTGGCTGCCTGTTTCTGTTTGGGAGGAGCATTCCCCTTGGACTTCTTGACATAGGAGTCAAGATCGCCTTTTTCAGCCAGGCGGTCTAGAAAGCGCTTGAGGCTTATACACTCATTGGTTTCATGACCAATGTCTTCATGAAAATGACAGAATTTGCTTTGGTTCCGGTTGCTCTTTGTTGGCCGACTGCTTTTGTCGGATTTCTCTCTTGTCGGGCCTCTTGCTATCCGACTGTTTCCCAGTATTACAGAGGTTGGTTGCCTGAATATATGCATCCGCCTCCATCATGGCCTCTTGGAGGGTGGTCACCCTCTTTCTGACAAGGTCAAATTTGAAGGTCGACCCGTCCTTAAGTCCTCTGAAAAAAGTCAGTATAGGCTACCTCATCCGGCAGCCCTTGTATCTGAATCCTCATCAGGTTAAACCGCTTGATGTAGGAACGGAGTCCCTCCTTCTCTCCCTGTTGTATTGTCCCTAAGTCAAGGGTCGTCTTTTTAGCAGGAATGTTCATCGCAAAATTGGAGGTAAATAGGTAGGCCAGGGTCTTGAAGTTGTTTATGCAACCAGTCGGCAGGTTGCCGAACCATTGTTGAGCAATGCCCTTTAAGGTGGCTGGAAAGCATTTACACCATGTGGGATCATCCAACCCTTGAAGGTACATAAGGTTGGTGAACGCCATCAGATGGTCCTCTGGGTTTGTAGTGCCATCATACGCTCCTACCAACACATTCTTCACTTTAGCCAGCTGGGCGGCCTCAATTATTTCCTTGGAGAAGGCGGATGGCTGTTCCCCAAGTCTAAGCACCGAAGTTTCCAGTCCAAAGGCTGGACTTTTCTTGCCGCCTGTCCTCCAAACAGAGTAGACTGCATGAAATATTGAGGTTGCGGCACGTATGGCTGGGGTGGCACATGCGGAGCCGCCTGGTTTTTCTGGGAGCCGGACCGGTGGGAGGTACCGCCTGTCTGGCTCTCATAGTTTGAGTTCGAATACCTCAAGGAGGTATTGTGTAAACTGTCTTAAAAATCAGACGTTGAGGCCGACTCTGAGAGTCGATCACTCTTCTTCTACTCTAACAACGTTCGAGCATCAGAGTATGTTCTCTTTGACCCATCCGGTTGAATATGACGGATGGGCTTTCTCTTTCCTGGTGAGGGAAAGCGATACTTCGTTAGATCGATCACTGGTGGCTCCCACTTCCTAGACTTAGGGTAAGGAGTCGCCTCCCGACCTTGTACAGGCTTCTTCCTCCCAGACTGGGAGGGTCTTCTTGCCGACTGCTCCTTGGATGGAGCAGGCGTCTTCTTATTGATGAGATCCTGGATCTCCCTTTTGAAGTTATTCATGAAAGTCATGAGCTCACTTCTAGTGATGGGGGTAGATCCCTCGGCCGCCTGTTGATGGTCAAGCGGCTGACCGGCAGGTTTACTAGATCCAGCCGGGCAATCCTTTCGTTCCTTCTTTTCGGAGGAACGAGTTCGTCGAGCTCTCAAGGTCCCGTCTGGGGCCGTGTGAGTCTCGACCTCGACCTCATTGTCAGTATCCTGGTCACTATAGACCTGAGGGTCGTCCATAGGACGCTTCTCGCTTTGATTCGGTACAGACTGTGATGCCATCTCGAAAGTACTCTCCCCACAGACGGCGCCAAAATGTTTCGGGGTTTTCTGATGTCCTGCGGGAGAGTTACAATTCCAGGACTAGTATCCTTGCGCCTTTACCTGCAAAACAACGGAGACTCCTTAGGGTGGGAGCTCCGCCACCGACGGTCAAGTTAGTACTTGTTTGAGGAGTAATAAGTGCGGAAAGGTAAAGGGTGAGAGATCTGGTTCCTCAAGGTGAGGAGTGATTAATGTGTTTTGGCTTCTCTAGGTGAGAGTAATTAATTGCTTAACCCCCCTTTAATGAGGATTAATTAGTGTATTTATAACCTTGGAAAGCGTGCCTAATTCTAGGGTTTTTGGTAAACCCTAGATCTGACTGGGCTTCTCCCGGGAAGTGGTCTTAGGTGGCCTCCTTCCAAGCTGGCAATCAATAGGCCACATGGCGTGGTTTGACGGGTCCATGATGGACAAATGGTCGGGTGCCACGTGGCAGGCCCTGAGAGGTCCAAATGGAGGACACTTGGCAGGGCCTTATTGGTCCACGTGGCGTACACTGATTGGGCGGGGAAAACCCGCTAATCAGGTTCTATTTCAGTTCGATTCGTTAATGTGTTCGGTTCTTATACGGTTTAACATTATTCGATTCAGTTTAGTTTCGGGTGTACTTAAACATGATTCAGGTCGGTTTCGGTTTCAAAAAATCGGTTTTTAATCGGTTCAGTTCTCATTTGGGTCAATCGATTTCGAGCAGTTAAACGGTTTCGATTTATACTTGACAGTGGTACATATTTTTGATACTTGAAAAACTTATTGTCAAAATAAATGAGCTTTATGTTCACTCTACATTAACTTACAATAGTTGACTAGTAGTCATAATCAACTGGCTAGAGCAATAAATATACCGCATCAATGATAACATGTTACTTCACTATTTATGTCTTCTTCCTCAGCTCAACTCCTCAAGTCAATATTAGCCTTTTACGATGAAGTATGTCCTAACTCTACATTGTAGCATTAAATGACCAACCACCAATATTAATATAACCTATAAAATTTTTGTTCTATTTGTTGGTAAGTAATGAGCACTTAAGCAGGAGTGGAATAACAAAAACGTCCTACGAGTATAATACAAAGAGATAACTAAATACTGCTTTCCCTTTGCTTTTTTTCACTACATGAATTGCAAATCAATAATTCTTTTATAACATCACCAATAAAATTTGTGATAAGAGATATAACATGAAATATAAATATTAAGAACCTTGGTCCGTGGGTTAAAAATTTTGGTCGGGGCCAACTGCTTGTATTCTGCTGTCAAATGATGCTTTATTAAGTAATAAGTAATTTCCTTATGGGACTTCCTTTTTTTAAAAAAAAAAAAAGAAATTCTTACGAAATATAATATTTTGCCATCGTATCGATATTTTGCCAAGCCACAAGATTTGAGATAAGGGAGAGAAGAGGCCAAGATAAAAATTGGAATGTTATGGATATAATTAATATGAATAAATTTCCATTAAGTTTTTTTTTTTTTTTTTTCAAATCAAATTATATAAAAATGTGTAATTTTCTTAGCAATGATAAAGATGTGTTTTGATGGTACTAATATTACATAAGTCAGCAAATTGGTATTAATGTATTGTTATATTCCTAGATATATTACTCCCTTCATCCCTTATTTTCATGTCTATTTTTCTTTATTATGTGAGTAATAAATGTGAGAAATAGGTATATAAATAAGGGATGAAGAGAGTATATAATAGTAATAAACATTTTCCAAATCTTTTAATTTTTAATTTTTTTTTCAATTTGGTAATTTTTGAGGTTGTCTTTTAATGGACCCCACAATGAATTTTCCCAAACTAATATGGTGGGCCCCATATTGAATTTCCCCAAGTCTTTTTAGATCTCTTTGTTTTCTCTGTTCCACCATTCCAGCATTAATAAACTCAAACTTTAGCTGTAATGGAGTTTGGCCGCTTGAACCTCTGTGATCAACGCGAGGCCCATCAAAATGGTGGGCTCTGAGCCGTCGCATTAATCAAATCTCTTTATCCCTAAGCTCCTTAACTAAGTAGCCTGTAGCCAACAAATTCAAAATTCGCGTTATCGGAGGTTTTGTTCAGGGTCTGAACTGCAGCTGAGAGGGATGATTGGTATTGAGCTTCTATGACTAATGCACAATTTTTACACTGGGTAAATTTTTGTTTTTCACTAGGACAATTCGTCGAACTTCTGGTGATATTTTGGTACATTGACCGTTTCCAGCTACTGATGCTAGTAGATTTTACCATTTTTGGGTGATCTTGAGGTAAATTGGGTTGATTTTTTGGGGAGAAAAGAGTGAAGAATGTACTTTTTTTGTGAGATTGATGAAATAAGGTTAGTTTTGGTTGATGGTAAGTTGAATGCTGAATGCTGAAGATACCATGGAAGACATTGCTTTGAGCTTTGTTCTTCGGGCTCAGAAAATTTTGAGAAAAGTTTTGATTTCTGTGAGAAAATGCAAAATCTAAAATCTGGGTATTGTAATTTAGAAGTTCAATTGAAATGGAAAATTTTTAAGTTCTGCAAAAATGAAGTCAGTGTCTCAGACGAGCAGATTTGAAGGGGTGGTTTCCAAACTTCATGTTTGAACGTTTGAACAAATACAGGATTGAGCAATTACAAGGAGAGAGACTATGATGTCGTTAAGTTACGGCTGTGATAGACGGAGTTTACAAGTGCATCCTTAACTTAATAGGATGAAATACCAATACAGCCCTTAGATTAACATGTTATAGCAATCAAGAAGATTAACTTAGATTTTCCACTTCATTTGCACATCTTGAAGATCTTTTGAAGCCCCAAACCTGGACATGAAATCAAGTTGTCTTCAATGTCCTCAATCTATTGAGTCTCTGAATTTCAGTAGACCACTGACACCTAATTTGGATAATGAGAACAGAAGTTCATAAAACTTACTGAGTACCAGCAGAAAGAAGACACACAATTACAGAAATGGGGGAGAGAAGTTTAAATTTTTTAAGCAACTGATGTATACCTTCTGTTTGTCTGCTGTTTTCATTTCACATTTGATATTCACAAGATAGCTTCATAATTGAAGAGCTAAGCAGAACAAAGAGAAAGCCTTTGCTTCCGCAGTGACTCCTTCAGTTTCTTTACAAAGGACGGGTCTGATAACACATATTCTTGAAAGGATTCCCTGAGTTCTCGCAACATCTTCAAGTGATCATCACAAGGTTGGACGTTGAGCAACCTTTTGAAAAGATTATCCCACAGTTTGATGTTCCAATACCTAGGGAGCAGAAGAATTTGTTGGATTTTGAAGCATGTAAATTTTGATTGTTATTAACAAGTACAATTAGTCAATTATTACACAAACAAAGGACACACCTTTTAAATGGTAATTTTGGTAGGTAAAAATGGCCTCCATCAGCAGACACTTTTTTTTCAAAATCCATGTATTTGTTGTGCAGCATCATATGAACAATGACGCAGAGGCCATAAGTGTCCACCTATATGAGTCAAATTTCTAACTTGCAGTCACTTTCAACGGAAAGGGGAAGAATAAGGAAAAAGTGGCATTATAGCAGTTACAAACCTGAAATTTCCAAGGTTTATCTTCTCGCATTTCAACACAACAAAAGCCTGAAGTACGGCAATCACCATGAAACATAGTGTCAGCTGAGAAAAGCTTCAAGTCTATTCCCCTTCCCCAGTCAACAAGGCAAAGCCCCTGCATCAGAGAATCAAAGAATAATTGGCTTTCTACAGATCAAAAACATAAGTTATTGTATAAGTATTTTGCAACGCAATTGTTTTTAACCTGATCCTGCCAAGGCCCACGTCTTCTGACAAATTGTTCCATATCATCTGTCAGATCAACTCTGTAAGGAATCAGATAATGTAAGGAAATTTCTTAAAATCCAGAAGATATAATACTAACCACTGAGATTGCTACAAATAAATTCACAATGAAGTGGACTTGCAATACATTTTTGTCAGCTGTAAGCCTTGACCTTAGTGACTTTGCATTTCTGAAATATTAGCCAGTTATGATGGTGCAGATGACAACCTTTTAGAAGACATTCCTGCCACATTTCAGGCATAGAATTCTAACAGGTATATGGGCAGTGGCTGTTTATTCTAAATGGGAAGACAGAAAAGTTTGAAAGAAAATAGATTTTTGGTAGATTTTAGCATTCCATACCTCAGATAATTTACACATATCAGCCCAAAAGGCAGTGATAATTTCTTATTGATCTTATATTAGAATGCCATAAGCAAAAGTGATAATAAAGAGGTTCATCCAACTTGGCAAAAGAACCTACAGTAACCGTGATAGCATATAGATTCTGATCTTGTAAATACCTATTCTGCAAACAGGCATATGTCTGAAACCAGCATACCCGAATAAGTTTGTAATTACGTATTAAAGGTAACTGTGATTAAAAATGCATCCATCATCATGTGAGGAACCAACAACTTGTTAAAAATCCCTAATCTGCACATTTGTTTGCTTTAACTGAAGAACTTGTAAGCTTTCTTTTGAAGTAGTGAAGATGGTAGATGTCTCTTTTTTCAAGTAGAATTCATAGCATTGAAGCTATATTTAACAGTTGTACCATTGGAAACAACCAGATAATGGTCATCCATATTAATGAGATATCTGTGTTCAAATGAAAATTTGAAAAACTGAAAATTCACTTCTTCGTTTAGCATTTTAACTAATGACAAAGCTAGTTCATAGTTTTTGGTAAAGTAAGCATGAAGCAACACCCTTAAAAACAGTAGCATAAACTGAACTTAGATATTGACGCAGCCAGTTTTGCTCATACATACTACTGTTTATCGAATATCAATGGTATAAAAAAAATTACCTGGAATTACGAATAAGAAGGTTATCAGGCTTGAAATCTCCATGGATGATGCCAGAACTATGTAGAGTCTCAAGTATGTGAAGCATCTCAATTGTGTAATACATACATAACACCTCTTCCATAAATGCCCCAACAACTATATATGAGTTTATTGCATCCTGGCCATAACCCTTTTATCAGCCAATTCTAAAGTAATATATGAGAAGAATATTATGCAAAGTGTTGCACTATAAACGTACATGAAGGGTCCCATGTGACAAATAGTCACAAACAAGTATGCTGTAATCTGAGTAATGATGCATCCTTTGAGCATTTCCAAACCTGGATCTCTGTTTAAATAAATATATAAATAAAAAATAAAAGAGAGATATCACACTAAAGGCTTTGTATAATAGAATGTCCTTTTAAAAGAATAAAAGGTGGATGGAAAGGGGAACAAAAAAGCTTACTTCCTCAGTTGGGAGACGCTGATCAAGCTGACGATACATGTAAAATTCCCAAGGGAAAGGAGGTGCTTGTATCTGCCATTATGTCAAATAAGCACAGTATCTAATGAGTGAATTGCAGAAAAAGTGCAACCAGCTCAGCATGATTCTTGATGGAGTATGTTACCTTAAGTGCAACAATTTCATCAGGGTCAGAGTCAATGCAAGCTTTAAAAACTTGGGCAAATCCACCATGACCAGCACAGCCTTTGATCAGATAGTCCCTTCCACCTTCACATAATGACACATCTGAGTTAGGCATCAGGCCTAATGATACATTGAAAAGGAAAACAAGGAACATAATTTGCTGCCAATTACCTATCTTTATTTTTTTATTCCTAGATGACTTTTGTAATGTAGACAAAGCAACCTTTCCTGGAAAGTTTTTTGAGCTAAAATGGTATCCCTGAAACAACATAGTGAAGAAGTTGGTTACAAACTTAAGGCCATAATCAAACTAAGAATATGTAACCAAAGTCTATGCCACGACATAAAACCTTGCATAAGAAACCCTATGAGAACAGGAGCAAGGAGGCAACACGACAGAACTCACATCATATTTCACTAAATGAGGAAGAATCTTCTGCAAAACTTCATCAATGGTGGAAGACGACCATGGGTTGACACAAGTCTGTCCAAGCTTCTTTGTATCGTTATGAACATTCTGCAAATACGGTAATTAGTTGCATGAACCTTATCAATTCTCCAACTAACTAATAGCTTATCAAAAAGTAAGAGCAGTAGATTAAGAAGGAAATGATGATGATCATGATATTACACAGTGAGGACAATAGAGTACTCATAAATTGATTTGGAATCTTTTTTGTTGAATATTGATCATGTGAGTCAAGAGAGACCCTGATAGAGCCTTCAAGATATTACATTGAGGACTATATAGAATGCTTAAATAAGCTTAGTAAACTTATAAATGAACTTCAATCATGTAAGATGAGATATGTAAACACGTGATAGAGCAAGAGATTTAAAATAGAAGCATGATGACAAAATTCATTGATAGTAGAGATGCAAGGGTAATTGACCTAATGATCTATGTGACTCTAAGTCTCTAACTTCAATTCGCCTCATGTAACTGTTTCATTTCCTCGACACTTTATTTGGACAAAAAACATAGATATTAATCAGAAAACAACCGAGTTTTACACTTGGACACATTTGCATGTTTGTTATTAGTTCTTGAATCGTAGTAATGCAGCCATTGAGGGACAATGAGCTTATAGGGTGTGGCAAACCATACAAGACTATAACAACCAGAAGACAACAACATTAACATTAACAAAGCATATTCTTCATTTATTTTAAACATACCCATGTCTAGGATCCAATTCAATGCATTAGTTTCATTACTTAGGACAGTATACCTGATGAATAGAACATGCCTTGTGTACAACTGAAATCCTCTCAAGAAACAATTTGTGCGCTTTCTTCAGGCTTTCAATAGGTTCAGCATTCCTATAATTTCACAAAATTAAGAAAATTCAATGAACTAAAACTCTTTGGTCTATAGGGAGCCATTAAGGAGCAATGATATAGACGAGATTCAATTTTTCCCGTGTCTATGGTATCAACTTTAACCAACTAAGCTAGTTGTCAATTGCATAAAACATAATATTGATAATATGAGAGAAAAAAGACCTTGAAATGCCCAAACGATAGATTTCATGAGCATCAATTAATTGCCCTTTAGCTTCCAAAAACACGGCACACGTCTCGTATAGTACAGAATTACCGAGACAAATCTGGAGCTCCTCGATTTCTTTAAAAACACTATGGAAATCTCTACTGCAATCCATCTGCAGAAACAAAAAAAAAACCCCAAATCACAAGTAAATACATTTCATTCCAAAAACCCTAAAAATGGCAAAATTGCAGAAAAAAGGGGTTGAACAAGTAAGAATTATTACATAGAGAAACCAAACTTTGAGAAATCGAACATCATTTTGACAGCGAGGATTGTTCTTGAATGTTCTGATGCAGTCAGAAACAAGCTTATCAACAGCTAAACTGTTCTCTTCACTATGATCTGCAAATAGATCGTCCAATCCCTTCTTAATTGAACTACAAAACTTGAAAGAGCACAAATTATTGAACAAATTGGAGAAGAATTAGCACAGATTTGAAGCAATTTTAGCAGAATTTGTTGCAATTACAGAAAATGAAGAGGAGAGAAAAGTACTGTAGCCATGGAAGAAGAGGGTCACTGGTGAAGGAGAAAGCTTGGTTGATGTTGGTGGAAGTGACGGCCATATCTGGTTTTGTTTTCCACCGGATTTTCTGTTGAGTTGAGAGGTGTTGAGTGTGTGTGGATGGTGGAGACGAGGAGAAGTTAGGAGAAGAGGCGCGGAAAAGTTGAAATTTGAACGAGGCGAAATATAATTTTATGAGTTTTGTTTTTTATTTTACTCCGTTAAAAAATCCTTAATTTTATTTTTCGAATAAATCTACTCCGTATAGTTAAATTTTTGGATTTTTCACTGTACATTATTGAGTAATTTTTTTTTTTTTTTATTCACCATATACCTATAAAATTTAAACTCACCCTATATTTGAATTTTACAAAATACCCTTAATGACTAACGACACTCAATTTCGTTTGTCATTAGGGTTAAGTATGCCACGTGGCAGCATCTTATTTGTTATTTTTTAAATTGTTCAACTAATTATTAAAAAAACTTTTTTAAAAAAAAAAACCACCTCCAGCCACATGTTAGTCTCCTCCCGCCGGCGATAGACCACCTCCCCACAATCGCCACCCAGCCCAGCCTCCCCATCACTAGTGCCTAGTGTAATACCCTAGAAATTTCCTTCTTTTTAAAATACTCTTTTTACTCTAATTAAAACCCTTTTTAGGAAATAACCAAAATATTACCGCCACCATGATAACGACTAAGGCTAATTTTCAAAATCAAACAGCGGAAGTCTAAAAAATAAATCTAACTTTGACAATAAAACTTGAGTTCACAACCTCAAAACAAAAGTAGAATTAAAACATTTACAAGTTGGAACCAATTCAAACATGGCCCTTCCTAAAACCAATTAAAAACAAACATAATAATGTTAGTTCATAAACAATAACTAATAATTCAACACATAAAACTAAGAAACATAACAAGTAACTCTCTGTACTCATTCCCTTCATGCTATTCATGATTCAAGTACCTGTTACTTTCTCTTTATTTCAACCCTGTACTCACCATATAAATGGGTCATAGAAGGTCAATCCAAAAGAAAGCCAAACACAAACACAAAACTACGAATCAGCAAAAGCCGAGTACATATGCACCACACTAACATGAATATCCTAGTATCAATAAAAAATAATTAAAACATGATTGCCATACAATCACAAGTCAATTTACCTTTGACTCATAACTAGCAATATTAATCATTATATAATAAATTTGGATTACACATCGAACGGGGTTCCTTCCTTTAAAAATAGCCCATTAAACATGGAGCTTCCAATTAGGGAGCTACCCCAATTGGCACCTACTATGTCACACTTGTGACGGAATTTTAGCGCATTAATAATAAAAGAAAGTACAGCGTCCTGTACTCCTGCAGAAGCTATGGTTAAATATAAAACCCCATAACTCCCCCCATATGTTCATATTCAAGGTATATACGTTCCAAGAATTTTGGTGCGTATCCTCTTAAACTTTACGTGATTTTCCAAATTTAACTTGTGATGACCCAAACCAATCAATCAAGAACAAACATAATAACAACAACACATACTTCCAATTCATTCTTGAATTAATTAATTAGCACATACAATTTATTTTAATTAAGGTTTCTTACCTAGTTTTGTGCACAAAATTGCACGATTACTATCTTGGTGCATAATATGCACTAATGATAGGCGTGTCGCGTATCTAACAAAAATAACCTAACGAGACCACTACTATGTGACGGACAAGTAAGGATCGAATCCCAAGAGACTAAGGTTCACCTAATTAAATAGACTCAAATTATCACTAAGCAAGTAACAATCAATGGTGAAATATTCTAAGAACTAATATATAAAGAACTCAATAAATCTATAGAATGTGATAAATCAATGAACTAAAACATCCAAGATCAAGTATCACCACAATTACGATCGATGCAATTATCTATCTACCCCTAGCATACAAATCCAATTAACATGGGGAAAAGCAAACCCCAATCAATACCAAGGACCTCTCTCGAGTATCAATGGCTTCTCTAACCACAATCAAGCCTATTCTCATGGAATCATGCAAATTAGAGACATTAAACACTTTACTTCGCTTCCCAATTATCAATTAAATTACTCTCGTGATGAATCTCAAACCTTAAATTGATCTATTCAAATCCGTTAAAACCCAACTCTTGTTGTGATTAAAACTATGGAATAATAACAATACTAATTATCTCTAATCTAGTATTGGCATAATCACAATCAAATTAGCATAAATAATCGCAATTGTCATTAGAGAATTTAAAGAATCAATTCATGCATCAATCACAATTGGGCTACCCTAGATCTTGGAATATAAAAACTACTCACACATATTAAAATAAGCAATAGTAAAAATAATTAAAAAAAAAACATAATTAAGAAATAAGGGATGAAAGGAAAATACCAAATCTTGAAATAAATGGAGATTGCAAAAGTAGAACTTGAATCTTGAATTACAAAAGCAACGTAAAAGTTTTAGAGAAAACTAGGTCTAATAAGGAATGCTTGATCTTGAAATATAATAAAGTCTGGGGTATTTATACTCCCAACAAAAAGATAAGAAAACGTAAGAAAATTCAGTGCATAACCCTCCTAAGAGGCACAGACGTACCTACAAGAGGCACGAACGTGCCTCACTTCGAGTAAGGTTCTTCTCGGGGTAGACTCCAGGCACGAACGTGCCTATATTGGGCACGGACGTTATATGCAGAATCGAAGGCAACAACAGAGACACGGACGTGCCTCTATGAGACACGGACGTGTCTCACTTCCAGAGAATTTCCCTCAGTTTCTGAGGCTCAGGCACCGACGTGCCTAAGCTGGGCATGGGCGTGCCTCTCTTAAACATGGTCGTGCTTGACTCCAAAAAGGCCTAAGTGACTTGTTCTTCGACCAACGAGCTTCGTGAAGGTTCGTGGTCCTCGGTTTAGTCTCATGACTTCATAAAATCTCTAAATTAGCTTCGTTAATCCTGAAATACATTAAAAACAACGAAACTACCCATAAAAGATCGAATCATCGAAACTAAACCAAATCAAACCAAAATGAACTAAAATACTAAGCTAGACTAATAAGAACAACTAAAAAGAGGCTAACAATTATGCACAAAACACGGCTTATCAAACTCCCCCAAGATAAACTAATGCTTGTCCTCAAGCATTCGACCATGAATCACAAAGGAAGAGCAAGACAACTTCTCAAATCATCATAATGTGCCATCATTTGAAATCAATAGGAAAGCAAAAATTAGAATCAATGTGCGTAAAACCACCATAAACCTCTCATACTTGGAATCGACAAACATATTACCACACATCTCCCCAAACCAACTCACACAAACATGAATAGCTCTCACTTTAGTTGTGAAAAATAAAAGCAATAAACGCTCATGTATTTATGGGGTGAAATATGAAATCACTCAACCTAGGCATAAAATGCATGTCAACTTCACATGAATTGTCCTCTTTAGACTTACAATTTGACTTTCTCCACTTTCAAAGATTGATGCAGTTGCGAAAATCATGAAATCCAAAAAGGGTAAGCTTGGTTAATAGAGGGTCGGACGACGTTATTTGGGAATGTGGCACTCAAAAGTATAACAAATCCTAATCCCACTACACATTCAAATATCGGGTTCAGACCAACATTATTTCCTCCAACTTCATACAATATAAGCATAGCCCTTTTTTTTTTCAATCACACATTTTTTTTTCTCTCTCTCTTTGCAAAAAGAAGGGATTTATAGCATTTTATGATTTAGGATGACTTTTAGAACTCCTCTTTGTTTTGAGGTATGGATATATGGAATTTTAAAACTGTTTTTTTTTTCTTCCTACAATCTAACTCTCAATCAAACAATACTTATACGAACACCCTATAACCAAGTACAATGGAAAATAAAGGTTCGGTCCACGAGGAACGAGAGTAATTGCAAATCAATCTTAAACCTAAGCTAGTTCGAAATCAATGGAAAATGGTGTTCTAAAATACTGCTAATAAGATGGAATAAATCAATAAACTAAGACACTAGGGAGAATGGGAATTCACCAAACCATCGGTAACTACGCAACAAGGAATCACAGAGACAAACGGGATATGCAAAGACTATATGTCTGATCAATATCATGTGATAGGAAGACAACGGGCAATACTAAGCTTGGATTTCTCATGCACTTAACATTACTCGATACATAATCAAACCACATTCAATAATGAAATACTTAATTCACAATCTCTTGTTCAAATCAAGGATATCATGCAATCAAATTCAAGATTCTAGGTTAGCTACTCCTATTATAATGAATTAACATGCAATCGCATATAATTAATTTAATCACAATCCGTTTATCAAAATCAATCCTCAATTACATAGATTACCTAGGCCGGGTTTCATCCCGAAACCCTAGCTAGGAGACTACTCACACATATTCATAATCAAAGCAATAATGAATTCCAAAAGCATAATAGATATAAACATGAATTCTGATTAAGGAATAATAAAGCTTGATTAATAAACAAGAATGAATAATACCAATTGTATTGATGCGAATCAATGGAAAAGTTCAGAACTTTGATATCCGTCGTCAATGAATAATACAAAGAATCTTCACAAATCTTGCTTCAAATCAATCCAAGAAAACTAAAATCGCTAGAATAATCTCTAAGAAAACTAATGAATATCTAAAACTAAGAACGTTCTCCAATAACTCTCTACAAAGGCTCTCAAAAACTATCTCTAAAAAACTGTCTGTTAACCCTTACAATCGGGCTATATATATATGTTTTAAATCGGAAAGTAAATCGCAGGCTGCCCTTCGTGAATCGGCACAGCCGTGCTGGAAGTGGAACGGCCGTGCAAGCATGGCAGTAGCTGATCCGCAATATCTTCAATTATGGCACGGCCGTGCTGAATTTGGCACGGCCGTGCTAATGCCTGGCACGGCCGTGCTAAATCTGGCACTGGCACGGGCATGGAAATTGGCTTGGCACGGCCGTGCTAATGCCTGGCACGGCCGTGCTAAAAGTGGCACGGCCGTGCAGCATAGGCAGGAAGGTTGCAGGCACTTTGGTCTTCTTAAAACAGTCACAACTTCTTATCCAGAGCTCCGTTTGAGGCGTGCAATATATCGTTGGAAAGCTCTTCAAGTATACTTTCTAATGCAATTAGAATCACTCCATTATCATTTGAATACCGAAAGTTGTGAGCAAAATAGTGAACAGGTGTCATATTTGTGAACTGTTCTGCCTTGCCTGCTACTTAACTTGCCTTTCAAGGCCTTGAGAACCGCAGCAAAGCCTTAGCTTGGTGGACTAGGATCGATAATAGCCTGATTACGCACCAATGGTTCGGGACTCGACATAACTTGGTCAACTATACCTGTTAACACACCAAAAACAGACCGAAACCCGTGAAGCACGTAATATGAAGGAAACGAGTGTAACAAGGCAATAAACGACCAAAACGGGCCTAAATACATCCAAAATCACCCATTTATATGCCTTAAAGCGCGCCCTAATGTGCGCTTGTCAAAATCCCCCAAGCTACACTTTTGCTAGTCCTCGAGCAAAACAAAGGGATACACACACACACAGGATCAAATAAACTATTGCCATTACATATAAATCCAATTTAGCACGGAATGAAGTCAATGGATCCTACTTAGAACAACCATGCACGGAATGAAAGCTCACTCAAACAAGCAACGAGACACACAATCCAAGGTATCGTTGATAAAAATGCAAACAAAACCTAAACCAAGCATAGAGAACAAAGAAGTCATGCTTCCCTCTAAACCCAACCAAACCGGCGACGTCCTCCCCTTTTGCTTCAAATCACCACCCTAATTGGCCCCTCGTGATTCCTCGAAGGAACCGGAAAAAGTGATATTTTGAGGAAATAACAAAGGTATCCCGACATCTCGATTACGCATAATCTTTCCATAGGGTTGAAAGGTATCTCCCTCCACCGTTTGAGAACCGAACACCTCTAAAGTCTAAGGGTTTTAAAGGGTTGTAATGTATTGGCAATGGGTAAGGTAGGTGAAAACAATTTTAAAAATGGGGTTAA